CAAGTAATGAACAAAAATATTTTATAGTTTATTTAGTAAAACAATAATTTTTAAAATAAAATTTTTTTAAATATTAAACTTTTTTTCCATTTAAAGACCTTAATTTTACAAGATAATATAGTATGAACTACAAATCTTTCAAGTAAATAGTTACTTAGAAAATAATGGATAATTATAGCTATTCTAAATTACAATTTCCATCATCTTAGTACTTTTTTTTTTGGTAAAAATCTTAGTACTTGTTAGATGTAATAATAGTAACTGTATTATACCTCTAATTTGAGAAAAGCAACAATGGATTGTATCTTATCAGATACATAAATCAAACAGAACAAACATTTTGCAAGAAACCCAATATTAAGTTCAATAGAAAAGTTAGGTGTAGTCACTCTTCATGAATTACACTTTTTAAATAAATAACACTTCACTTAATATTTATGGGTGGGCGGCCACATTCTGTAAATAGAATTTCATGAGTAAATGATATTTCACGGTAGAAAAAAAATAGATTTCACGGTGGCAAAAAAATCGATTTACTACCAATTATTGGTTTTCCGAAGGGAAAGTGTTATATTATTTATTCCAGTTATACAAATAATTATATTTATCAAGGGAAAATCAAAGTTTTAATAAGGAAAAAAAAATTAGCTGGCATGATCGATTGAAATTTATTAATCGATTAATTAATTAAATTAAATGATGCTTAACATACTAAAAAAAAGTAATTGAAAATAAAAAGAGGAGCAAGGGGCGCTCAAAGGAAGGAAAAAGTGATGTACACGATAGAATACATGAATTTAAAAATCTAACTAAAAAAATTTAAAAATTAAAATTAAAAAAGAAGAAGAAGAAGTAATAATAATACCTTTTCGCTGATTTACGAAGTGCCAGGCTGGTCAGCCGGCGACGGCGCAACGCCTCCACCTTCACCGGCGATGATCTCGGCGAGAGCGGTCATAGCTCGGACCTGCATCTCCAAAGCCGGTACGTAATCAGAAACTTCTTCAAGAAGATTCGAAAGAGACAGTTTCCGGCAGCCAGGAACCAACCGGCTAAGAACCTTCATCTTCCTCTCAACCGCCGGTAACCTCCTATTCTCCACCGTCTTGATTCCTCCCGCCAGTTTCTTCAACCTTCCATTTCCAGTCACCCTGGCTTTTTTGTGCTTCCTCAGCTCCGCTCCACCGCGTTGACTGGAGAGGATAGCTCTGCTCCACCGGGTGGCCCCGCGCGCTGAAACCGCAAGTAGTCTATCTGCCGTCTCCCGAACTTCTCTCCCGCTCCTCCGAGATCGACGGAGCGCCTCACCGAGCTTCGAGGAGTAGATCTGCTGCTCCCTCTCTGTTCTCCATCGCTTGATTCTCTGTCTCTGAGAGGTAAAAGGAGCGGCGTTCGTTTCCTCGGCCGATCTCGTCCGCTTCTTCCTCTTCAATTCCGGCGACGACGTGTCAGGATCCGATGATAACAAAAACGCCATGAAATGAAACTAGAGGCAAGATCAAGAAACGAATGAAGTTGAAGAAGAGGAGGAGGAGGAGGAAGATTGGATTGGATGAAGGGCGGAGGAGAGGAGAATCGGCGATGAGAATTTGGGGATTGGGTTGAAAATGTTGAGGGGGGAGTTATAGGTATATATGAGGAATGAATCGGGAATGAGTTGAGTCACGGGAAACAACACGCGGCCATTCCTTAATTACATTTATGGCCCTTTTTGCTTACCTGCTGTCTCTGTTTCATTTATTTATTTATTTTTTTACCTATAAAAAATTAAAGATGCAAGAATAATTACAATATTATTATATTAGCGGCTTGAACTCTTAACAAAGAAGTCAAATATATTAATGCACTTTCATCGCGGTTAAGGCCGAAAGTACGTTTCATTTACTTTTCTTATTCATTTTTTAATTTAATTATTGGATTTTTATAATGAGATTTAGTTTTCATCATAAACTTACGTAAATAACTAATCAGTTAAAAATTCCATTATCAAAAAATATATATAAGTCTTGATTTTCAAAAAAAAGTTTAAACAGTAATTTTAAATTATATCATTTTATTTAATTAAAATTTAATTTAAAATTTAAAATTTTATCTTATTAAATATTAATATTTAAATTTAAAAATTAATTAAAATTTTAACTTTTTTTTAAAAGTTAAAAGTAAAATGTACTAATATCTTATTATAACTATAATTTAGACCTTTAAAATATAAATAAAAAAGTATTTAAGTTTTTAAAATGTTAGTAAATTATACAAAACTACATAATATATTTATTTTGTCATTTACTTATTATTTTCTTATTTAAAAAAAAAAACTATTTGTACATTAGTGGCTCCCCTCCACTTAACACTTTTATATGGTATATTTTATGATAGAATTTCAAGAAAAGTCTTAACGAAAATGAGGCCACCAACCCAATACCAAATGTTCCGCAAGAGTCAAACCTCATTATAATTTCAGTATCTAGAAAAAAAAAAGGTTAAATACTAATTCTAGTGCTAAATTTAAAACTTTATACTTTTTTCTCCTCTGAACTAATTTAAGCCTTTTTTTTTCATCCTTTAATTCTTAGATATGCATAAAAAGTTTCCTTCTAATTTCGTCCCTTAGTATAGACTTTGATGATTAGTTTAAAGACTAATTAGCAGAAAGACAAAAAAAGTACAAAATTTAAAGTTTGGAAACCAAAATTATCATTTAACCAAACAAAATGGAAGGAAAATTATTGTCTTACCTCCCACTATGTAATATACTATTCCTTCAATCCAAAAAAATCGTCAATTTCTTATTTTAAGTTTTTTTAAATTAATTGTTGTTTTTTAATATATAAATATTTTTTATTTTAATCTTATTATTTTATTTATTTTGATTAATTATCTTACCACAAAAATTTTACTTTATCTTTTTAGCTTTTTTCTAAGATTAATATAAATAAATACATGAATAGTCCTTAAATCATTAATTTTAAAGAAAAAATCAAGACAAAAATATTAAATATCAATTTTAGTCTCTGAACTTTTAATTTTGAACAATTTTAATTCTAAACTATTTTTTTTCACTTTTTTAATCCTTAAACCATAAAAAATACATTTGTTAAGTCATTCTATCAATTAATCTATTAAATTTATCATATATATGCATCTGTTGTCCCTAAACTTATAAGTTAAGAATTTAAAAATGTGCATATATTATAAGTTTGTAGACTAAAAGTATACATATTTAAATAAACTTAACATATTAAGTAAGGGATAAATTAAAAAAGTGTATTTTTCATTATTAAGGATTAAAAAGTACAAAAAAAAGTTTAAAAACTAAAAATATTCAAAATTAAAAGCTTGAGAACAAAAATTGATATTTAACCAAATAAAAAAGAAGGCGCAAAAACCCTTGTTGGAGTTGGCTGAAATAGTAAAAACAGATGGTAGTTAAGCCTCACAATATAGGTTTGTGTCCCATTAAATGGTAATTTAAATACAAATAATTTCAATTTGCTATACCTATCATTTTCTAAAGGGAATTTTTGTCGGTTACTTGTGGGGTGACGTAGCTTATAAGAACCTATAAAATTAATCAATCCAAATGTCCCAAATACCCATGTTAATAGAAAGAGAGTTCATAAGATGACATTCATTTCAATCACCTTAACTTGTTTCCAAAGATAATAAAAATGATTAAACACCAAATAAAGGAACATCTAAGAGAGTACTTTGGTCTACAAAAATGGCTAAGCCTTGTTTATATTTGCAAAACAATAATTTATGAACAACTTTCAGGATGTATTTGGTGTGTTTAATCATTAATGTTCTACATTGCAAGTCACATGGTAGGTATAAAACTACCAGAACATTTCCTTTTCAATTTAATTAACACAATACAATATTCAAGGAAGAAGAAGATCTTACTCTTTAGATTTTTTTTTTTTTATACATTTGATTATGAGTTATATAAAAAAAAATAACCTTCTCATATTCTCAAATCTCTCTTCACTTAACTCAAAACTCGAACTTGAAAACTCCAAACTCCAATTTGGAGTCTCAAACTCTTAATTGTTGACTTATCCTATTGAGAATTTTACCCTTTGGATGGTGAGGGAAGTGTTGTTGCCTTCCATCCTTATTGTTTTTGTGTAAAAAGTGTTGTAAAGTTTTAACTGTTTTAAATTGCATAATTTTAATTATTGTTTATTCTCAACAATTAGTGGGTGACGGACAAATACAAAAGAAAAGAGAAAATAGAAACATGTGGTTGTTTTCATTTCATGGCACTTTCTTTCTTCTTGGTTCTTATTTTCTATTTATTTTTAGGGATTTTACATACTGAGTCACCTCCCTTAATGGGGTGCGTGTGGCCAGGTTTCATCCACAATGCCATGCCAACACAATTTTCTAGCATTTCCCCCTTCTTAATCTCTTGTTCCCCAAACTGCAAAAATGGTAGGGACAAAAGTTTTTGTTCAGGATCATTTATTAGGAGAATTCTCCATATAATTCATTTGATCCCTTCTAAATCTTAGTTGCTACAACTATAAACAAGATTCTAGCTGTATTTATGATGTTGCATTACTTTTCAAGAACTAAAAACATACTTAAAAATAAATAAATAAGAACAAATCTGCCTGCTTGCATCCCACTACTAGTAAACCATACCTGTATAGTTGTGATTTATAAGTAGAAGCTAACTTCTTTTACTATGAAGACTCATCTGATCAAAGCTGTGAGGTTCATGAGACAAAGTAGACAATATCTCAGGACTTCAAGCTAAAAAAAATTCAGTACATCAGTATAATAATTTCTCGTTGATACATGAATGCTAACTATTTATCCCACTAGGGAACAGTCCAATTGTTTGAGTATGAAACTTTTTAGGGTTAAACCTTAATTAACACACAGAAAAAGGAATCCGGAAAGAGAAGACTATTTTCTGGCGTATAACTCGCTTAGATGAAAGAAGAGGACATCAAACAGAGTTTTAAAACTTTGGTAATTTCTACGGATAAAAAAAAAAAGGAAAAAAGAGTAACATACATGTATTTACTTCTAGTTTTATTGATTGTGGAGAAGAGAAAATCAGAAGAGAATCAGAGAAGTGAGCCCCATTACTTATGACATGCCAGAGAGTCTGCCTCCTTGAGTGAGACAAGCTTGAACGTCACAAAGGAGAAAGTCAATCCCAAAATTTTATATACCATAAAGTTGATACACTGCATTTTACTTGGACCAAGGTTAAGAATCATAGAGAACCACAAACTCTCAAACATTTAAATAATCATAAACATAAAACTCTATTCTCTTTCCCTTAAGATTGTTCTTTAAGGAAAGCAACCTCAAAAAATGAGGTAGCTTCCCAGTGTAAACAAAAAGTTAGATGCTAAGCACTGCACATGGTACCCAAAGAAAAAAAAAAAGTTAGATTCACTCAAACAATGTAAAACTTGAAAATTTTCAAAGTTATCTTAGAAGGATTCCCACCAGACCAGATTGCTCTTTTTCATAGTTTTCTAATGTGAATCACAGATTTCTGTTGTAAAGAAGAATAGAATGGTGCAGTGGTGCTAGTTGTTCAAGTTATTCTAGTCAACCCAAGAAATAGTAGCCTAGTTGACAAGGGGGATTGCTCCTTGTATCTTATTGACTATGGTCCAATTCCTTAGGAAGTTATAAAGAAGTAATTCCTCATTAATCACTTAATCATGTAGTAGATAACCTGCCTTTGACAAGATTGAAAAGGCAGACTTAGTTTGCTTCATACAAGCTAGCTTAGGATAACACCTGACCACTGTACCAAAAGAAAAGGTTATCATAGTCAAAATCAACATTTACTTCTTCTAGAGTTTTTGTTTTGATTGGCCAAATGATGATTCATTGAATAGTCCACAAATGATTCTTACTTATCCCTTCTCTTAACCACTTTTGATGGAGGAGCCAATGAGGGTTCATTTATGTGCTTCCCAGCAACTAAAATATTTGTTAAGGAATATGATTAGAACACATCAACATAATTAGAACTAAACAAGTAAATCAAACAATATAAACCCTTGATTACCTAAGACAAACAAGTCCTGTTTGATTTTGGTTGGTTCATACTCCCTAAGATGGTCTTACATATATTTAATAATAGGTTTCCTTTAATTAGTAATAAATTATGAACAACAGAATTTGCCTCGCTAACCATCTCTTTGATCACTAAACTTCTAGGCTTTTGATCCCTAATATGATTTATCGGTCTCTAAATTTCAATCAAAATGGATGTTGCACCTGTACTCTAGGCTGAGGCCATCCGAATAAAATTTTCCTTTTATTGCCTCAACCATGTTTTTACCACTCACATGTCTTTAACCTACATGACTTCTTCTCCCTAACATACAAGTAGTTGAACAAAGCTCAAGCAGAAAATTACAGAGATCAAACCTTGACACAGATATCAAATGAACATTGCAGAAGTCAAATACAAATGCATTTCCATAGACATTAATGCTGCTGATAAGATAAACATGAAGATTTGGTGGAACATATGCGTGTTACGCTGTCAAACTCCTATTATAATAATAACAACGTTTAAAAAAGCTTAAATTAGTCAACAAATGCATGCCCATCACATGATTCTATTAGAGCAGGGTTAGATAAATAATGGCCTGATCTAATAATCTATTGTCTGCTAGGTATGTAGGAGGCCAATATGTCCCCTGCATCAAGTAAAGAAAAAAGAATAGCTCTATTTCCAATAATTGATTCCTCTGCAATCATTTTAATCAATTAAAGACAAGTGTGCACGAGTGGGTGCCTTGAAGAGTAATCTATCCCTGGTTATCCAAACAAAATGATTATCATAATATAATAGCAGTATTAATTTAAACACAAAACATGATTAAGGACGGAGCTTTGAAGGCAGATGAAAAGTTTATTTTGAATATAAAAAGGAGGATGAAATTAGAATGGAGGCCACCAGCAGTAGAATATGGTGGGTGTTGCACATGTGAAGCATCAACTGTGGTGACAAAATAAATCCTATAATTCAATCATTTGGGCAAAATTTAGAGGCTAACATTAACTCTGACCATGTTTTCTTGCTGAAGAGCTAATGAAAAGTGACAGCATCAGCAACGACCAGAGTAACAAAAATAAATAAATAAAAGGTGACAGAATCAACCCTTTTTGACTCCAAGATGATTGTAAAGCTAAGAAGAAAAACTACTGGAGTTAATAAAGAAAATTCTTGTTCCCTATTTTTGCAAAAAAAAAAAAAAGGCAAAATACATCTATAAGACTATATATATATGTATATATACCTAAATGCTCCACTTGATGACAGGAAGTCCCAACGTTAGCCACATCTCTACAAGGAATTGATCCATTGTCAGTTCTTTCTTTGACCATTTCTGATGAATTTTGTACAGAGCATGCAGAACCTGAGGTTGCTGTACCTTCTCAGCTGCAATGATAAATAACAGACAATTAAAAAAGAAAAGAAAACAATGTAGCTGAAAAGATCTACAACATAGTTGTAGCTAAAATGGAAAATAGTACTATCATCATACAGAGACAAACTCCAGATTTACAATATACTTATGGCTCATGGAGGAAACCTGAGATAAAAAATGTTTATAGTTACAGGAAAACTTGTGTTTTGCATCAGAATTATTATAAAATCATGCAACATGACAATATCAGTAATATTTCTATACTTTCCAGCACGATATAAATAATACGAAGTTGATTATACATTAAAACCATTAATAGCAACATTTGATGTCAATCTTATGTTACTTATGTAACCATTATTAGGGAAAGAACAATGCTGCATATCTAGCTAGTTTAGTGTTTACCTCACTAGGGGGTATATTA